ATATTCCAAACGATATGTGATTCGAAAGAAAAGCGACGATACTTGCGTTAATTCGAAAATAAAACATCGTATTCACGAAGGTATGTGTCAAGTTTTTAATTCTCAACTTGGAGGCTTTTAATTTTCGGTATAATATATCATTTATAGACCCTCCGCTAGGGGGTTCGGCGAAATGTTACCCTCAGTGATGATATTTCCCTCCGGGCAAAGCTCCTCGGGAAATATCGTTACTTCGGGTAATATTTCGCTGAATCCCCCTCGCTCCAGATCTATAAATGATAAATATTGTATTTAGATTATATTTCATATTGCGCAAAATTCTCCCTTTAAGCTAGGGAAAATATATTTGACATTAACATGTTAAATATTTAGCAGAGTAAAATTAGGACTCATTACCATGCAATAGACAAGACAATTGAAAGCAGAATAATATAAATGAATACAGCTAAAATCATGAATTTGGTATTATTTTTGGACACAACGTAGCCATGCATAGGATATTAACTAGAAGTTACTATCGCAAGGAAATTGCTGCCTCACCCCCCAAGGAATGAAGGCAGCATGCGCAATTTGCTGAATGGCCTGAATAAGGGGCTGTTTATATGATACTGCTTTGCCAGGACGAGATATGAGGCAGGATGATTTCGACATTTGAAATCAGTCACGGTGCATGATTCAGCAAAACACCTCATTATTTTCTAGAGATAGAATATACTGTAAACAAAAAGGTTGTTCAAGCAGAAATAATATACTTCGTGAACTACAAGATCTTCTCTGACTACAACATTTGAGTTCTGTTAAATTTACCAGCATTTGAACTTTTGCTTACTAAATAACCTAGTGACTTATTTAAATACATCAAAATCATCTTCCATCATGCAAACAGCCCCTAGGACACCTGTTCAGGAGGCAGGAAAAGTGAAATTTGAATATCAAACACCTTACACAAAGTAAAAGGTCAGCTAAAAAACTTGGTATAATCATACCAAATAAACTTCATTTATTTAAATTGCCTTATGTGCAAAGTGTAATTCGGGATTTTATGTTAATACACTGTCATGTTACTTTGGAGCCAATATTTTAAACTGATATTAAATGTCAATAAAAATCATTACTTAAAGATCTTCACTTGTGAAAATGTCCTGAAAAAAATAATAAGAAGAACAAATATGTCTTTTAATGTGGTACGATTACGTTTGTTGCAAGTAATGATGGTCTTTGGTTTGCTTTCATTTATTTGGTAAACAAGTGTTACCATTGTTTTTGGTCCAATATGTAGTTTATCATATTCATCATGTAGTGTCCACTGTTGGCCATCATTATTGTCCAATAGCTTGTTAGGTTGCTGTACTTATACAGGTTTGTAATATCATGACATACAATGTTCCTGCCATCCATATGGTAGATTGGATACAAGTATGGTAATTTAATAATACATGGCAGATTCCATCCAATTGCATTAGATGTAATATATCCATACAATCTTGTAAATCAGCATTTTTGTATTTAAATAATAGCATTCTTGTATTTAATAATACATTTCTGTTAATCCAGAAGCTCCCATCCTATTACATGTGATGTAATAATCCTATTACGTGTGATGTAATATATCCATATTATATTTTGACTCTAACAACCATTTAGTTTCATCCAGCAGTTAACATGCATGGCATATGCACAATTCACATCCATCAGAATTGCAAAACTATAGAAAAAATAATTGGTAGCATGAGATATTAGGGACCACAGAATAGGCAATTCCAGCTTTTAGCAGCGGTGGAAAAAATATTTTGCTTTCTGGGACCACAAGAGAACATTGAAATTTTCTGAAAATTTTTGTTTGCAGCTGTGACGTTTCTCTGTAAACATCATGGAAAAATTCGATAGTTTTTTCGAAAGCCTTAACATTTCGGAATCATCTTTGCAGAATATAAAAAAAACGTGACACAAACACCAGTCTATACATTCGTAATACCATACCTGTTCTATACGTGTACAGTATTATGCCTATATTACGCCTTCCTTGAACTGAAAACACTCAAATTTCAAGAAAAACGCACTAGAATTATCAATATTTCATGCAAAAAAGTTGTTTTGAGAAACATTGGAAATTTTGAAGTTCATATATATATTAATAAAAAAAGGTATGTCAGCAGAAGATAACATATTCCTCGCGGAAGCATCGCCAATAGCCGACCGTAGAAAATAGTAGAAAAAAATTAAAGCGGCCAGGAAATACGGCCTATATAAAACAAAATATCAATAACTATGTGTGACGTTTCTAAGGGGGAGTGGGGGAGGGGGGTCTCGAGCGAAACGAACATAAATGTCCGTTTCTCATGGACAATATCGATATGTGAGGCTTCCCTTACATGAATTTTTCCGAATATTTTCGATCTTTTGCATGCGTATTAAAGCATGAAAAATCTTGACTCTTGAGCACATGGAGATGCGTGCGCAATAAAAACTCTTGTCTGTTACCGCTCCCCTCATTAAACAAACGTTCCTGAAGCTTAATTATTCCCCCCGGATTACGACATCTTTACAAACAGACAGACACAAGATCGAGATTTCGAAAATACATAGATCGCGCGAAAGACTAGGTCGAGTGGACCCTGGAGAAACCACTACGTGTCAAGAATAGTGTGCTGCCTCGCAGCGCTCTGCAGCAATTATTAGTGCTTTTTCAAAATTGATCTCAAAGATACACAAAGAATGTTTTATGAACTTATATACTCCTAAACATATTATTGTGCAATGTGAATTTCCATACCCGGGTCACTAGATTTAAAAAAAAAACCCATATATTTATTTATAGTAATTACATGGTCACTGAGAGAATAGGCGAGCGAATAGGCGAGACTTGCCTCCTTTGTTGTGTTAATTAGCGAGGTAATGAGGCTATTGTCACAGAGAGGAAACTGACACTCAATAACCTCAATTTTTGTGTCACGCGTTCCAGGCACCACGCAAAATTTCCCCCAGTGCCGTCGCCGAAATTTCATAGCAAAAAATAGGGAAAACGCCGTTCGAAAGGTGAAAATCGCTTTTTTTTTAAAAATGAGATACCCATGGAAATTTTGTTCAATAAATTATTGTAGAATAACGGTAAGCGATCACTTTTATTAAAAGTGTTAACATAACATTTTATTTTGCAAGAGTTTGTTTTTTTCCCTATCTACTCCTTATTTATAGGAATGTGATACTTGAGTAGCGACATATGAATATTCCTCATTAATTATTTTCCTTTTGTCTTATGTTTTATTACGCATGCCGATCTACAATGAAAGGTGATAGCTTTTCGAGCGCGCACACTTGGAGGAAATGTTCATTCGTGACTGAAATTATTCAACATGTTGAATATTCGGTGCCGATGGCACGCGTGGCTGAAATCGCTCAAAACGCCACCGCACACTGGGGGAACTTGCTTACGCCAGCAGTTACGAGTGACGCTCAGCTCAGCTGATAGCTCCAGTGTGCGCCGGGCTTTAAAGCCTGTTTTCCACTAGCGAATTTCTTCGCGCGAAGCGAATTTTTTATTGTCAAAATTGAAAAGAATGTATTAAAAATCTAATTAGTTCCAGCCGAGAGCTTATAATTAGACAAAAGATTCGCGCGACAAATTTCGCTAGTGGAAAACCGGTTTTAGTCGAGGGATTGACGGCTATTTTGTCGATTTTGAAACCAAATACAACATAGTCTATCAAGATACGATGGCCTGGAAACTAAACAAAATTGTTTGTTATATGTTTTTGTTTGAGTTTATGTTAATTTGTGCATGGCCACGGTGATTGAGCTCATTGTATTTTCGTATAATTAAGGGTTGTTTATATGGTCCGGCTTACCCGGAATTCAATGAAGTGTGAAGTATTTTGAGCAATTGAAATAACTCGCACTTCACAATCTAACAAAATTGCTTTGAAGACTGAAGATGTTTTTAATAAGTTGAAATATAACCATAACACCAAAACCACAAATCACTCTTACTTAAATTATTGTCTTAGGGGAAAAGGCAAACACAACTGAAAAACGATTCAGCATTGGCATCTAAACAAAAAGCTCTTGAAATAAGATTAAATCTTTACGGAGAAAATCATTCCAACACAGCACTAAGCTACCACGAAATTGGAATCACACAAAATAAGTTGGAAGATTACAAGTCAGCATTAGTTTCAAACCAACATGCTCTTCAAATCAGATTAAAATTGTATGGAGAATATCATCCCGACACAGCACAAAGTTACCACGAAATTGGATGCACACAAAGTAACCTGAAAGATTACAAGTCAGCATTAAAATCGTATCAACATGCTCTTCAAGTCAGAATAAAGCTTAATGGAAAATACCATTCTGACTCTGGACATAGCTACCATCAAATTGGGTTCATACACCATAATTTGAAAGATTACAAGTCTGCATTAGAGTCATACCAACATGCTCTTGAGATCAGATTAAAACTATTTGGAGAGTATCATTCGTGCACTTCATTAACTTATCACAACATTGGAGTCGCACAACTTGAGATGACAGATTACAACTCAGCATTAGAGTCCCATCAGAAAGCACTTCAAATCAGATTAAAATTGTTCGGAGAAGATCATCACGAAACTGCGCGAAGCTATCGTGAAATTGGAGTGACACATCGCAAAATGAAAAGTTACAAGTCGGCATTGGAGTCAAATCAACATGCTCTTGAGATCAGATTAAAATTGTTTGGAAAAGATCATCGTGCTACTGCTCAAAGTTATGATGGTATTGGAGTCACGCAATATGATATGAAAAATTACAAATCAGCATTACAGTCACGTCAACATGCTCTTCAAATCAGATTAAAATTGTTTGGAGAAGATGATCCTGAAACTGCTCGAAGTTATCACAACATTGGAGTCACACAATACCAGATGACAGATTACAACTCAGCATTAGAATCCCTGCAGAAAGCACTTCAAATCAGATTGAAATTGTTTGGAGAAGATCATCGTGACACTGCGCGAAGCTATCTTGAAATTGGAACTACCCATCGCAAAATGAAAAGTTACAAATCAGCATTACAGTCACATCAACATGCCCTTCAAATCAGATTAAAATTGTTTGGAGAAGATGATCCTGACACTGCTCAAACTTATCGTCATATTGGGCTCACACAACATAGCAAGCAATCAATGCAAGACTACAAATCTGCTTTAGAGTCATATCGAAAAGCTCTTCAAATCAGAATAAGACTCTATGGAGAGTATCATCCTGACACTGCCCAAAGCTATCAGGATATTGGAATCATACAAGACCTTTTGAAAAACTATAAATGATTATTAGGCTAGGACGAAAAACGTTTCATCATAGCTCATAAAATAGTTGTAAAGTAATGCAATTTTTAATCGCAAACTTGTAATGGTAACCATCATGGTCACATTTAGTTGTTTACTTCACTATTTGTTAACCTCATGCAGTTAAGACTATAAGTTTGTTTTTGGTGTCGAGAGTAATGCTTTATTGAAGATTAAAAAATTCATTAAAATAATTATGTTACAGTATAAAGGAATAGAATGAACCATTTTATGTATTGATCTCAAGTAGTTACGCTGAGATAAAGTGACATTCCATGTTTTGCATATTATCCTGGCTGTAAGATGTATTATTAAAATAAACATTGTATGTTACTGTAATGAGAGTTGAGTTTTACATATATGAAAAAAAGACACCCATGGTGGCAATATTGTCTCCCCATCCAAGTTTTTTTATAACTGTAAAACGTGGTAACTGAGAATTAGGCTATATAAAACATAATGAATGCAATATTGAGCAATATTGATTTATTATAGCATTTTAATATTTTTCCACTTCTTATTGAATATCGTACCTTTCCGATGGCTCTAATTGCAGGTCGAATTTTCAGGTTAAGTTCTTGGTTGAGTGTTGAAGTTTTAGAAATAGGATGAATACCCCCAAGAAAGAGTTAGGGTTGGATGTGGGTTAGGTTTATGATTTTATTTGCTGTAAACAACATAAAAATACCCAAAAGTCATTTGGATTATCTAGTTACCGACATGCATCAACTGCACCAAAATGGAATCCACAGTTTAGACTTCAGTTTTCTTCAATATTTTCAGGGTTATTTTTAGGGTTAATATTTTCAATATTTTCAGCATACTAAAGTAATTACCAATATTCTAAAAAATATCCCTAAAATTGGTAACAAAACCGATATAGTTTAAAACCACACAATCAACCTGACGTTTAATCTGCCACCATGGCAGTCCATCAGACTAATTGAGAAACTGTTCATTGCATTTATCAGAGTTATCATTCGATCATTATACATCAGATTTCTCTTTGGCATGTTCTCTCAAGTTCTTTGATTGAAAAATTTCTCCCTCACAAGTAGCCTGCGAACAGGCTCTCAAGCTGAATTGAGAGCCTGCACTGATGATATACAATTTTGAATATCTGCCCCGTAACGTTCGTTTTTCCAAATATGGAATGTCTATCCTTATATGGTGCTGTTTACAACTTTCGTGCAAACTAGATTTAGACCGTACAAACTAAATTTAGATCATACAGTTTACACTGTTTTTCGAAATATAAGATATTCAAGCAAAAGTTCAAATGCTTTAAATACTGTTTTCTCAAAACAGAACATTTCGTGCCTTGAGTTAAGATGGCCAAGACCAATTTGATCAGTTAATGTGTTTTTTATACATAGTGCTTCAGCAGTTGACATATATAGAGCTCAGCGGAAACATATAAGTTATAGCATTTGACCAATGAGAATTTCGCGCGTCGCGATTTGAGACGCAGATATTCAAATTCATTAGTCATCGATGCAGGCTCTCAATTCAGCTTGAAAGCCTGTTCGCAGGCTACCTCACAAGCTATGCAGAATACATGTGCAACATGGCAAAATTTGTTCTGATCAAATGTTGTTCATGAATACACCCCTCCCTGCAAACATCACATTCATTATAATTAGAGGTTTTTCATTAATAAAATATGTTCTTTTGATTTATATATTACTGAATAATTTGTTACTCAGAACCCCTTGACTTGATTTCCAAACTGTATTGCTTTGTTGCTGAATTGAGAACTTTCTTTATTGCGAACATCATAATCAAGTTTACCCACAGTATGTGTTCTCTTATGTCGTCATTCATAAGGTTGTTTTCAGGTGTGCTTTCTCGCATGTTTTGCCATGTTATTGTTCATTTGAAAACCTTTCATGAAAACATGGTACTCAGAAGGTTTCAACACGCACTTCTTTTCCCAAAATTGTTGGCAAGGAGGGAGATATTTTTTAGGACAATATATATGCCAACTTACTTAAAATCCTTTCCCGCAAACATCGCATTTATATGGTTTGTTCCCAGTGTGGGGTGCTTTATGCTGTCTTAGACTAAATATTTGATTGCGAAAACGTAATCTTACAAACATCACAATCATAGGGTTTTTATCCAGTACAGTATGTACTCCTTTATGTACTACCAGCGGACTTGAAGAAATATATAATTTCTTGCAAACATCACATTCATATAAACCTTTATTCAAAAGTGTGTTCTTTGCTGTATTGCTGACAGAATTACCAAATTCTAAAAATCTGTTCTTGCATACATCACATTCAAAAGGTCAGGGATATTTTCAAGCACTTTATTCTACTACCGTTTTTCAGGAGAAGATTGAGTTTCTTTTGGTGGGGGGGGGGGGGGGG